TAAACGAGAAAATCCATTAGAGTGCGTAATTGAAGGTACGTACGGTTGCGATGACTTCGCAGGAGAATTTCCGTTCGGAAACGACGCGAAAACAAAACAACTGTCTCGTAATTCCGGGGGGAGGATCGGCGCAAAAAACGTCGGCAAGAACGATCGATCGGCCGACTCGATCGGAACGGGATCGGAGAGGGATTTCGCGAATTTGACGAGGAAAGCGGTCCCAGTTTTCCACCGTCCGTGAACGTGTGAACTGCCGGGCGATCGAGTCGCTTCCGGTATCGGTTCTCGTGCAGTGAAACGTCTGTGAAAACGGGCCCCAAGCCCCGCCGGTATAGATCCCGCGCCGATATTTAAAACTGCGGCCGAGTAAAAGTGGGCGTGGCTGTTCCGAACGGATTGTCTTTCCTTCTCCACGATCTACCTACACCTGTGTGCCAGGCTGTGCTCGCGAGCCCGTTTACCTGCAAATATTTGCGGATACTTCGAAATATTCCGCTCGCTCCGTGGATCGGTGATTTTTAACGCCGGCGACCTGTTCCGTGAGTTTACCCTTCTTTTTATTCTGAAAAGATCTCCAATATTTGCGAGGATCGAGAGTTCGCGATCGTCTCTTTTGATTGCTCGCTTGCTTGCTTGCTTGTTTGCCTGCCTTCCACATACTGGACATTTTTCCGTGAGAGCATATCGGCCATGCGTTCGTGCGCGCGCGCGAGCGCCTTTCGTTGCTTCGTTCGCCTTTTTCGGGACGGCGTGTTTGCGCGGATGGAATGTAATTTCATTTCGAGGCTTCCGAGGCCTTTCGCCAATATTTGAGACCTCCTGCGAGCCTCTTCGCCGAGCGTAGTTATTTAACGGAGATTCCTCGCATTTGCGGATGTTTGTTGCCTCATTTTTTTTCTTACACGTGTGTGCCGGGAAGTTCGGTTTCGAAGTGGAGTTTCGTTTGCTTTGCGGGTTCTTCGACCTCTCCTAGTGACCAACGAGTTTCGACGACGCGAATGCTTGGAAAGGAAGACTATGATGTTCTGATTTAGGATCGGTCTTAGGATCTTTGCGCAGATTAATCATTTTCTGCCCGAATTGCGTGACGTCGGCGGTGACAATAGAACTGCCAACCCCTAGATGCCACTAATGTAGGTGTATTGTTTTATAACAATGACAAGATTGGATTCATTTAAACTTCCTACGACTTTTATTGATTATTATATATTTAAAAAAAAATAGTATTTATAATTGATGGAAATTGTTACCGCTTTATAATTTCTTTTGATTTATCATTCGTGAATGCTTGAGGAAATATTTTTATTAATTATTAACTCGGCGGGAGGAGCTACTCGGCAAAATTCATCGTAAAAGTAACCAATTAAAATTAATAGGACTGTTTAAGTTTCTGTTACGATTTTTATATCAGGTTTAATATAGATTTTACGATATATTTTCAGTTTTGTTTGCATTTTAAACCGCTGCGCCTCAATATAAAAATAATACAATTAAAAAAGATATATTTTAAAGCTACGGTTTTTAATATTTCGAGTACGAGTACTTTTATTATAATGCAAGAAGTGTTAAGAAACAAGGAGTGTTAAGTGTGAAGAAACTTGCGATTTCCAACCACGATCCACCGATTTCCCGGACAGATTTCTACGGTGAAAATTCGCGTCTCTCGCTCTCGAATCGTATCAAATACCAGGTTCTTCTTTTTTTCTGCGGTGTGTAACGAGCGTTACGAGGCAGAGCGTTGCTCTAAGAACGAGCCCTCGGAGCGAAGGTTAGTTACAGGAGAGAGATAATTCGGGGAAAACGTTTCTCGTTTCTCTCATGGTAATCACGGCGAAGCATCGTGTCGCGGCGAAGAGAGATAAAGAGGGAAAGGGAGAGCGACAATGACGGCGTTCTCTTGACAAAGACACGCCGGATTCGACGTCGTTAACCCATTCGGAAGGTTGCAATCCCGGAGTGCTTGTGCAACGCTTAATAATTGACAATTACGCTTAAACTTGGCGTTTACGGACCGCGCCGGTGGTTCCCTCAAGTGCGCGTAATTAACTAAAACTACTAAATCGCGAGCTATTATTCTGCATCCTAGATGCGTCGCGAATCGAACGTATTTTTTTTTTATTTTTTTTTAACAATATTTATAGGAATTGTTACCGTTCTGTAACTTCTTTTAATTTATCATTTGCGAATGCCTGAAACAAAATTTTTTGTAGACGTTCTCGTATGTCGAAAAAGTTGCCATTTTTCCAAACAAAAATGTAAGCTCCATATTCCATAAATTATCGTAGACACCGACTACCATCGGCTCAATAATTGAGACAATTGTAGACAGTTACTATTTTAGAATTTATTCTAAAAATTTCTAAATGCCGCCATTTACCTTAACAAGAACGATGCTTTGCCTTTCAGCTCTTATAATTTCTCTTTTTTCACTTCTTTTTATCATATCAATTATCACAGACACTATTGACTATCATCAGCTTAATAATTAAGAGAAACGTATCCAAATAGTTACCATTTTATAATTTCCTTTAACACTTTCTAATAGTTGCCACGTTTCCAAAAAAATACCTCGCTTTCCCATAAATTCTCGCAGTCATTATCGATCACCATTAGCTTGGCAACAGCAAAAAATGTACCTAAATAATTTCTACTTATTTAAATAACGATCTTTTTATTTAAATATTTATTTAAATAAGCTTCGTGCAACCTACAAAGAGAATTAAGGTATTTAAAGGAATGCAGAACGCACGTGTTACGTAACGTGATTACACAATTCTAGACATTGCCACTGAAAAAAATCGGTTTTATCGGTGACTGCATCGGCACAAATACAGATTCCGGTGACGGGATCGTACGTAATCATTTTCAAACGAGCGACGTACATCTGCAGCAACAAATAATTACAATTTCCTACGATTTCCGAAAGTTACCATTTTCATCGACGGAACCGAAACCAAGCATTTCCAGCAAATTCTCGCGGATGCTATCGCCTGCGATCGGGCCCATAATTAACGCGATACAATCGGAAGCGATAGTTTTTGAGCACCGTTGCCCGAAAAGTTGCGAAGCACGAAGGAAAAAGAATTAATGTTGCGCGGTCTCGACACAATTTTCCCGACAGACGTTTCTGGGGGACGTTGTGCCAACAAAGGGATTACATAATTCCCCGCATTCCTGGCGAACACACAACGCGAGCCGGTTCGTGTCTCGCCGGCGCACGATACGAGAGAGAAAGTATTATTGTGCACGCACCGCTCGGGGCCCGCCGATATCGAAATCGAGATCGAGATCGAAATCGAAATCGGTCGAAAACGAAGGGAGCTGCTCGTTGATCCGGCAATAATATGAAAAAGATCCTCGGTAAAACGGCCCCCGCGGGCGAATTTCGTAACCCGCTGCAGTCGTTGCACAATCCGTTACGGAAACTTTTTACCTTGCACGTCTCATAATTGATAAAGCGGCCTAATTGGACTTTCCAACTGTTACCACGGGCTCGCGGCGATCTTAAGGTGGTATTCCGCTGTGAATCGTTGGAAATATTGATTTTCTTTCACATTTTCTCGTAGAGTTTAGGTTCGAAAGCTCATTTTTTTTAGAATTATAATTTTACAGCTGCTTGATTAATTCGTAACATGAATGACTGATCATTTTTCTTCCGTTAATGTAAATGACTTTTTCAATCGTCCACTGCACTCTTTTAATCAGAATTTAAGGCGCATTACTTAATGTAATTTCGCAACGTTGTTGTAGTCCTTATAGATTAATCATCTTTAAGGAATTACGATTATCTTATTTTTTATATGATCTTTTATCAATCCAATTTGGACCTCTGTATTTTTAATAACTAATCGGTAACTTCCTGTACAACTTCGATTAATTAAATGAACGAATTTCAAGAAGATCGAAACTAGCCAACGCCAGCAATTCTAGCTGATTTTAACTAAAAAAAATGTTTCAATCTTATAAAGCTAGCATAAATAAACCCTGTATATGCGACTGCAAAAAGTGTTGTAGCCTCTTCGCGGAAAAATCCCAAAGAAAGTTAAAGAAAAACGGAATACCACGCTGGAATACCACCTTAATGGGACGATTTGAATGAAACCGCCGCTCGGCCAATTAACTCGAGTGTTCCCAACAATATGGGACATTTTAGCCGCGCAGGATTCGAATTTCTTTTCCACGAGCCAGCCAGATAGGCCGAGAGGGATGTTGTTAGGGTATAATTAGACGATACGGTAATGAATTCGCCGGCAGTTTCGACGAATTTATCTCTTTATCGTGTTTCGAATTGAAGCACGGCTGGTTCGTTAGAGTTCATCAAAACGGCCTGGCGAATTAATTGCCGCGCGAGGGACCCTATTAGTTACGTTTATCTCTTATCGGGCTCGAATTACGACGGAATCGTCATTACCGCCGCGTTCTTTTCTTCTTCTTTTTTTTACTGTTTTTTGCGGATGCCACGGGAAGCAGCTGGTTTGCATAAACATTCGCGGCGCGATAGAAATGCGAACCACCACCGAACGGATACGTAATTATCTGTTTCTCTGCCGCCACGCCATGGCCGAGGAGAAAGTGTCTCTCTCTCTCGGTGCATACGTTTAGGAGCTAACGAGAACGGACTCCGAGGAAAAATCAACTGAAAGTTGATTGTGCTCCGCTATCTTGCGGAATCGCTCCCGTAAAAAAAATAGTTGCAGAGAAAATTCGCCCGCGGTCTCATGGAAGACGGTAATTCGTCGCTGGTACATAGTACTCCGTTGCGGTAAATTGCAAGTCGCAAGAGACAATCGAGAAATCATAACGAACGTGTCAACAAAATGAATGCGAAGACATTTATTCGATCAGTCGCCGCGAAAACTTTCTTAGAATTGCGACCGATTTCGAACGAAAAACGTGGGACCGGTCGTGCTCCGACCGGCGCGGTAGGTTTTTAAAGGTTAAAAGTAGCCATCGTTGCGAATGGAATTAATCGTTAATCCTGGTCAAGATGTTTTACTCACCAATAGAAACGCCAACACGGCCCTCCGCCAGTCCATGGCTAAAATAAAAGAGAAAGTCTGATTAATAACTAGGTCGGACTGCCATGAGTACGATCGACCGCGCAAACGACTATCGCGCGAGAACACTTGCCACAAGAAATAGTTTCTTTTCCCTATATATATATGTATGTATATATAAATATCACTTGTAACATAGATCGGTAACTGGAGTCTGTCCCGAAAAACGGTCAATCGTTCCCCCGGATGCTTCCACTCGGCGCTCTTTCGACTCAAACATCTCCGATCGGTCTGCGACCATCGCGAGCCATCATCGTCTATCCGCTATCTACTTTCTAGAGGCGTTCCTCATTCATAAAACGGAGCAACCGGAGCCTCGAAACAATTTGCGAATCACTTTCAAGGAAACGAGAACGGTTCTCCTCGTTCAGTAATCCCATTTCAGGCGCCTCGAACGATCGCCGAACGTCTCGAATCGGTCAATGACCACGGTAAACCATCCTCCGGTACGTGCTACCGTGTCCCTAGAGCGCGTTCCCCATTCATAAAATGGTAACCATAATCTGCGACCTCTCGAAAATCACTATCCACAGGCGAGCATAGTCTTTCTCGCTCGATTATTTGTAGTAACAACTTGTAAAACGGCTCTAACCGATCAGCGACCACAGCGAGCCATGTTAGCTCGTCCCTGGACGCGTTCTCCATTCATAAAATGGTACCCGGGTACTCGGGGCCTCTCGGAAATCACTTTCCATGATGCAAACACCAGACTGTTTTCATCGGTGCTTTCTCGGCGCACGCTAAGAACCTCTCAAACCGTGCCTAACCGGTCAGTAACCACCTGGGACCATCGTCTGTCCTTCGCCGACGCGTCCTCCATTCATGAAATGGCACCCGGGGCCAGCGGCGTCGACGAAAATCGCGGTTCTCCGGGGAAAGCGGGCTCGCGGGATCACAGGACGAACTTTCGATCGGCGACGAACGGCATCCTCGATCCTCGTAACGATCCACGGCTCGTTCCGAAGGGCGGACAATGGAGGTTTTGCGGAGCTGGTTAGCCCGAGATCCGTGTCGGGGCTCGAGAAAGCGACGGCGACGCGGCGTTTCGCGAACATAACGCAAGAACGTTCACTTTTTCGTGGTGCAGGAGAGGCCGGCGCACGGTGCAGGAACGACCTCGAGCACTCTGGACCACCATGGTTGACCCCATCGGACGGCCGCCATTTTTCACAGGCACCACGCGCGCGTCTTTTCACGGGTTTCACACGGGTTGCTACGTGGACTCGCAGCGGGCGTCGCGACCACACGAATCGCGGGATTTACGTGGCTGGTCGATCGACATCCCGCGAGGTTCTGGCCACCTTCTTTCCACCTTTTCTCGCGGCCGGGAGCCGGCAGGATCGTACCTTCCACCGGGCTGCACCTGGGCGAACCAGGGCCGTAACGATCGCCACCTTTCACCTGACTGTCGCCACCGGGAAATGGACCCTTGCCAGCCGATTTGAGAATCTGCATCGGCGTTGGGGCTCGCGAAAACGTAGATCGTTTGGCTAATTGTTTGTCATTTTTTTCCAGTGAGTCGTAATCTTTTTTTATTAATTTTTAAGTGGCACCTGCTGTGCGGATAAATTAAGAGGACGTTGAACAGTTGCGATTCAAATTGAAGAAAATATTTTCTGACGATATAATAACGATAATTGTTCTTGGTTCATAATAAACAAATTGAAACTGGTCATTTTTGATCGGCTCGGTAGATTTTGCGTGAATTAATAGAGGACTGTAGCTATTCGTGGTGATCTAAATTGCAAAAGAACGATTTCTATCAGTTTATAAACTGTCTTGATTCGAGATAATATAATAAATATAAACTCTCGATTCGAGAATCGCGTGAAAAATTAGGAAATTAAAGACATATAATAGCGTACAAAATGTCTGCTCTGGACGCGATTAAATTTTTATTAAATCTTATTATTCCGGGATAAGCATTTTCTATTTTTAGCGAGACGGTACAACGCGAATCGCAACGATGAATATTTATAAGCCAAGCTTCCAACGATCGAAATCGCACGAGCTACCAAAAGAAGATCACCGTAGACAAAAATAGAGAAACTTTCGAATGGACCCGGTGTTATTGTAATTCGCGAGTGAAAGTGTCGTTTCCACGTGTGGGTATTAGATTTTCGGTGTACCTGTAACTGTCGCGATGGTTCGTTTCGACATAGATATCCCGATGGCCGGTTACGTTAGCCGGACGCGTAGGAATCGGAAGAGTATGGTCGTCACGTAGCCTGCCCACGTCATGGCTTGTCGCGCGTTGAAGTCACCGGCGACTCTAAGACGGATATAGTCATCGATATATGCGTTCGCACCGTTACGACATCTCGATATAGATTGATACGTTTTATCCACAAAAAGTACGCGTACCGTCAATCATTGTGCTGTTATTTCTGCTTCGAGGACGGTGTACTCGTACACCGTGTGTAATAATCAGGCGATCGTTGAGCTTAGCTCGAGCAACCCGGATGCAAGTATAGTTCGACAGATATATATCGGAATACATTCGAACTATCGAATCGCTGTAAGCGGAAACATAATTTCTTGATTACCGCAAGATTTTCATAAGATTATTTCTTATTGTATCTCTTTGAATATAATCAACCGTAGATTAAATACTAAAAAAAAAGTTAGAAACGAAATCGCACGGTATCTAAATACGATCTTGTCATTAGGGGCACATCGACGCTTTCAGCGCAGTCTTCAAATATGCGTTGCGATTAGCCTGCAGATTTGTCTGCGAAAAAATGCTCCGTCGATTCTAGAGTCGAGTAAAGTCGAGTAAAAAGTTTAAGAGTCGAGTAAAAATTAGCAATGTTAACGGGTTGCAAATAACGAAACACTGTCTTTAGACAGTTCAGATGATTTCTATTGTTTCCACGTAATCGGAGAAACACGAAGCGATAAAATTATTAGCAGCATTCTACAATATTTATATTTCTTTATTTTATTTTCTTTCTTTTTTAACTGAAATTTATTATGGCAAGAAATCGATTTTTGTTGTATTTCAGTTTATCGTAATTCGCGGAAAATAGTGTTCAATTGTCGTCAATACTTCTTGGTGTATAATTTTATTTATATTTTATTCGCATACACAGTCATTTATATCAATATTTATTCCCGTTTGTATTTTCACGCATTGTATTAAACTTTATTCATGAAACTCTGGATTCGCTAAATCTCGTCGGTAATCGCTAATTTTTATTTCGCATAAAAATCCACAGTCTAATCGAATCGAAAGCTTAAACAAATTACGCCAAGTTCACGGACCGTTTCTGATCACTCAGAAGCGCCGATTTTCGTCCGTCGAAGAAGCTGCCGAGATCGAGATCGATTCGTGGACCGCGTGGGCGGCCAGGATCCTTGGGACCCGCGTATTTGGTCTCGCCACCTACGACAAGGATGAACAAACTGATGAGGCGAGCCTTGTGCTCGTTTTCGCGCTCGTTACCATTGCGTAATCACGCGTCCCATTAAAACGTTTATTAAGACCGCGTTATCCATTCAGCCGGTTCCGACTGGTCAACGGCAACGTTTTTCCGTGCGTGTCTCTCGGGAAAGGAAACGGCCGCAGCGACACAGCTGTCGCCGGTTCTCCGGGCGCCCTTCCATCGCACCCGTTCTTTTCGGAACGTGTGCACACGATCGTACGATCGCGGCTAACACAAACGCAACGTGTGTCCGTGTGCCTCCCCCGCGTTCGCCTGCATTCTCGCGGAACGCAGCTCTTGCTCGGGTCGACATAGCGGATTACAGATTAATCATTTGTCTGTGCAGTATTGTAGGACTGAAGTTCTATAAAAATGTATTTAACAGCAGCATTGATGGATTGGAAATAGTGCAAAATATAATCGTAGTGGTTATTGTACTATAATTGATATTTTTTTCACATTCGTTGAAAGTGACCGGCTTCACATTTTCTTAGTTTAACCCTCTCTGCGCCGGACTGGCGACTCTGAGGCATCGCTGAAATCGTGATACCATGCTCCAAGATAATTTTGATATTATATAGTATAGATTATATATCATATTATATATCTTATATATATAAGATTATATATATATATATATACATATATATATATATATATATAAGATTATATATCTATATTAGTATAGATTTGAGATAATTGTTAAAATCGCAGCTGTTGCACGAGCTATTTTAATTCGCTATCTAAAGCTATCTAGATTCGCTAAGCCATGTAAAACGACTAGATCATTTGACAAAGACTTTAGCTCAGATTCGAAGATCTTCGAACTGTAATTAATACTATAAAATATAACTTCTCCATTATAATCTGTTCAAACAAGCTACATCAATTTTGCAAGAACTTTCAAGTCTGCAACGGAGTTACGTTCAGTCTAAAATCATTAGATTAGGCGGATTTTATGCATTTATGACAAAATCGCGGGCGATCGTAATTTGAAACGACGGTAAGATTAAAAGAATTTCAAACCACCGATGTATTATATTTAATCTATTAGCACGATCAAAGAACGAATAAACTTGCCATTCAGTTTCTATTTCTTGCAATTAAGGCAGACAAGTTTTCTTCCTTCGCATAAAATAAACACGCGCGCCGCTGTATTTACCACTTCAGATTGTATATGATGTATCGTTCTATTGACAGATCATTTGTCTGTGAGCGCCCTTTTGACAAGTAGAAAGTCCGGTCCACAAGTAAGAGATACGTTGGAGAACGCAGTCGCTATCGGCGCAACGAGGAAACCCTTGCAGAAGAGTAGAAAGTCCGCGGCGTGGATTGTAAATTTTGCAGAATGCGGGGCTCGTATTGGGGAAACAAGGGGACCAATTGCAGAAACGATGGGTTGAGAAACGCGGCGGCGGCTTTCGACGACCTTGGGGAAAGAAGCATTTAAAACGCGAGCGTGCGTGCGTGAGCGAGCGAGCGAACGAGCGAGCGAACGATGACGTAAGCCGCGAATTTTTCACGTGATCGTTGCTTTGCTCCGATCGAACTTCTCGGACTCGTCGGGTTCTCCAGGAAACTCGTTCGCCGGGCGCCTTCGCGCCCTTGAACGTCCGCCAACGTGGTCGTCGCAGTCTTTCCCCGAGCAAGAAAGTGTTGCGCCATCTTGGTGTCACCGTGATCGGAAGCGCAAAACCCATAGAGACGTTTTACAGGCGCACGTTCGCCTATCGTTTCTCCGATATCTCCGATAACGTCCGCGCTAATCAATATCACCGCTCGTCGGAGCTAATCGATCCAGGCAAATCGCGTGGAAGCGTCGTCGTTTTCGATGCGTCGATCTCTCCCTCTCTCTCTCTCTCTCTCTCTCTTTCTCTCTCTCTTTCTCTCTCTCTTTCTCTTTCTGTCTCTCTCTCTCTTTCTCTCTCTCTCTCTCTCTCTCTCTCTCTC